CACCAGCCACGGTCCCAGCAGCGGGTGCTTGCCCCCCGGCCCATGCAGTCTCCCCCGCGGACGCAGCCCCACGCTGCCTTCTTCCTCCGCACTGTTTTTTTCCTCTGGATCTTGCAAACTCCACCTCCTGCTCCACTCCCCCACAGCCCCCCCTTGGCTTTGGCATACACACACACGCGCGCGCGCGCACATACACACACATACGCACACGTACACGCACACGCACACATAGCTTAATCATAGTTCCCTCTGTGCCAGAGCAAACTTGGCAGTGCCAGCAGGAGCCGGGCTCTCGCCTGGCTCGGGCCCCCGGAGCAGGTGGAGAAGGGAGCCCGGGACTGGGGGGTGATGGGGAGGGAGCCCCAGCCCCGGGGGGTTCAGACCCTGGCGGAAGGGGGTGTGGACGGGAAGGGGGAGGAGAGCCTAAATCCAGTGGCGGGGGGGGGGGAGGGGATAATTAGAAACACATTCCCGCTCCCACATCGGCTGCGGTGGAGCTGTTCTGTGGTGATGTGTGTGTGTGTGTCCGTGTGTGCACACGCATGTGTGCATGTATGTGTGCTCATGTACCTGCCTGTCTTCTTGTGTGCCCATGGGCATGTATGCAAGCGCATGAGTGGTGTGCATGTGTCTTTATGTGTGCGTGCGTGTGCATTGATGTGTGTGTGCATGTATGCATGCGCACATAGGAAGCTAGGCTGCTGTCCCCAGCCCTGCCACTGCCCTTCCCTGGCCCCTTGGGCTTGTCACTCATTGCCCCCAGTTTTCCCTCAGGGGTTCATGCCAGGACCTGGCCCTAGTGTCCCCTGGCACAGAGCCTACGCCCCAACTGCAGCTGCATCATGGATGGATGGGGTGGGGGCACTGGGGTGACGGCTGCAATGCTGGGGGTGGTGGCAGGGCTGGGGGGGGATGGGGGATGTTGGGGTCAAGAGCATCCAAAGTTCAGCCTTAAAAATAGCCCCTTCCTTGTGCTGCTGTTGGAGGATGTTGCACAACCCTCTGGGCCCTTCTTCCTTGAGGCCTCGATGCCAGCGTGTGGTCCCCCGGGCCCCTGGGCAGGGGAATCGCAGGAGTCCTCGTTTGTTCTGCCCTGAAGCGAGATCACAAGTGGAGCCAAGTGACATCGTCCCTCCACAGTGTGACATCACCAAAGGAATCCCGGGGACTTTGTCATCCGACAGTTACATCATTTCCATCATCCAGTGCCGTTGGCCGTCCACGGGAACCCCGCGGTGCCCGCAGGTGAATGGGATGACGCCACTTCCCATTTAGGATGTCACCGCTTTGAGCCAGGTATCACCGCCCCTTGCTTCTTGACTAGACCTGCAGGACCTTCCAGGTGGACTCAGGAGATGATGTCATCTCTCTGTGCACAATGGGAATCCTCTTCCTGCCCCACATCTGGATTCACTGAGGTCACAGCTGGATGTCCGAGCAGTACAGGGAGCGCAGGGCTCTTTGTATCGATCCCCGCGCCTAGAGCCAGCTGCCTGGGCTGGAGCAGGGGACTCGGAGCCCCGGGACGCTCTGCTGGCCTTGGCCATGGGCTGTTTCCCAAGGGGCCCAGGCTTGCGGCTTGCTGAGCTGCCCAGCTCTGTCCCATTGCCTTCTCACCTCCCCGGCTCCTGGGGCCCTCTCCTCCCTTGCTGTCCGTGCAGCACCTGGTGCAACAGGGCCCCGGGCCGTGCAGGGGCTCCCCAGCAGGGCAGAGTCCTGAAGGAGGCTCTGATGACCGGCTGCTTCCAGCGGGCACCCCAAACACGCCAGCTGCTTCCTCCCAGCAGGAGGATCTGCCTCCAGCTCACTCCTTCCAGGCCTCGTGCACCAGGATCCAGGCGCGTGGCTTTGCCCGCCCTGCTGGCGCTGGGGCTCTGGGCCAAGAGGGCAGAGGGCCAGGAGCGGGGAGGCACACTGGCAGCTCCCTCGTGCCTACCGTACTGTCCCAAGGACAAGCAGAGCCTGCCAGAAGCCAGCCCTGTGCTTTTAGCCTCAGTCTTAGGAAAACTGGCTTTTCCCCCTGCAATCTCAAATCTCATGAGGTTCAACAAGGACAAGTGCAAAGTCCTGCACTTAGGACAGAGCAATCCCATGCCGGTGCAGGCTGGGGGCTGACTGGGTGGGCAGCAGCTCTGCAGAAAAGGACCTGGGGGGGACAGTGGGGAGCTGAATATGCGCCAGCAGTGTGCCCTTGTTGCCAAGGCTAAGGGCATCCTGGGCTGCATTGGTAGGTGTGTTCCCAGCAGGTCAAGGGAAGTGATTCTTCCCCTCTATTTGGCACTGGTGAGGCCACATCTGGAGTCCTGGGTCCAGTTTTAGGTCCCACACTGCAGAAAGGAAAAGGACAAGTTGGAGACAGTCCAGTGGAGGGCAATGAAAATGGTTTGGGGGCTGGGGG